AACGCTTAAACCAAACGCGCGCGAAAAATGTTATGCACAGGTCTGGCGTGGCGATTGCGGACAGGAAACACGCGATTAACATAGCCTGTACCATCATTTTGGCTCCATGTGTCTTGCGCCCTATAGGCAGTACCGCGCTCGCAGCCGCCTTGCTTCTTTGGGCCAGCCGCCTTCGCCCGGCCACTCTGTTTTTTTTTTCAGATGTTTGTTCGAACTTGTAATTCCAGGGTTGGCTCGATTCGACGCAACACTAGCGGCAAGTGCACCGGAGCTGTGTGGAAGGGTGCACATCTTTTTTGTTAGCGCACCTGCATTCCGAGCGTTAAGGAATGGTAAGAACTGTCAGGTATAATGGCAAGCGGACTGGTAGAAACAGACCGCTTGCGCCTTACTTTATCGTAGCGCTACCTCTTCGCATCACCTTCTGCACCTTCTCACAAAGGAGTTCTATCTACAATATTCGCCACGACACTCGATCCCCGCGCCTAAAGGCTCAACCCCAGTAGATCTGATAGATAATATAGTGGGCTTACGCCGCCTATGTACAACACTTGCGCGTAATGAAAGCTGTAGAGTGGAGTACATGAAAATGTATCTTAAAGGTTTTTTATCAGCAAGTAGTGTCTTCATAGCAAGCATGGCGATTTGAAGCGGGCAAGAAGCAATTGCAAGCCTAGAGGCTAACAAAAATCACATTTGGCGTTGTTTTAATTGACTATCGGACACGCGTTTATGTGGTTGATTGTGCTGTTACACTGTTTACATTCCTGGCAACTACCGTTAGATTGAATTACGTCTGTAAACGCCTAGATTTATGTCAGTATAAAGCTTCTTTTGAACTTCAGGTGATGCTCACGGAATGCAATATATCTTACATGAACGAGCTGTGTTCGACTTTTTGAAGCAGAAACGCATCGTAGCCGATCTACTCGACTCACCGGAGGAGTACAAGGAGGGCTTGCATGCGAACGTTAACTATGACACAGCTGGAGTAACAGTAGATAACTCTTAGTACGCGATTATATCTTTCTGTCCATTTTCTCTCGACATTCATAGAGAAACGGTTTATGTTACGTTTGGTACGCTAGCTTTAATATCTATGATTACATATGTACGATTATTATTATTTGTCACTAGCATCGTATTTTGAAATTCATTTCATGATTCATAACTTATAATGAATTGATCGAAAATTATTTGTTCATAGGCAGCTGAGGTTTGATAGGATCATTATTATTTTCTCTAGCATAGCAGAGGATTCTATTTATTAGTATGCATCAGTAACTGCTCACTTATTTATTTTGTTTGGAAATCTTGCATGCAGTATCGCAGTATTGAGAACGCAACTAAGTGTAGCTGTCTGTCGTATAATGTAATCTAGATAAATTGTAGACCATTACTGAGTGTACATGGCTGATATACAGCGACTCAGAATTGTGAAATGACTGTTGCTAATTTGCTTGATATCGCAGCTG